CACTTTAATTATTTTTAATCAAACTACATTATTTCTTTCAACCTTCACTTCATTTTGCTCTTCATCTGTTACGCATTAAAATGACAATGAACAATAAAAGTAACAAAAACGTATTTTAAAGATAACTTCCCCTTTCAAAAGTCACCACCATTTTTTAGCAGGAAGGGGGCACCTATGTCCTGTAAATAATATTATTTTGTCATAAACATTCCTTGTCATTTTCTCATTTAAATTCAACAGAAACAAGTCGGGCTAAAATGAACTCTTGGAATAATGCATTTCCGAACAGTAGAATCCTTCTACAAAACTGACCTTGCCTGATATACTTAGTGCATATCCACACAAGATCAAAAATGTGATGATTCCCTTCTGCTAATTAATATTTTCTTTGTTTGCTGACTGTTTAGGTTCTGAATGTATCTGCAAGTGTTTAGTTATATGTTCCCGCCTTGAGAACTTCTTTCCGCATACAGAGCATTCAAACGGTCTCTCGCCTGTATGGGTCCTCTTGTGAATAAACAACCCCGACTTTTGCAAAAACCGCTTCTTGCACACAGAACATTCGAACGGTCTCTCTCCCGAATGATTCTTGAGATGCATAACTAAAATCGACTTCAGTGGGAAGCTCTTCCCGCAAATGGAGCACAAAAACGGCCTCTCCCCCGTGTGCTTTCTTAAGTGAAGAACTAAACTTGTCCGTTGCGCGAAAGTCATCTCGCATAAAGTACATTGGAAAGGTCTCTCTCCCGTATGCTTTCGCATGTGGGTATTTAACGTGTCTTCCCTCGCAAAGTCCTTGCAACAGATCGAACACTCGAAGGGTCTATCTCCTGTATGGATCCGGATGTGACTGGCTAAATTTTTCTTCTCAGCAAAGCTTTTCGTGCAGAATGCGCATTGGAACGGTTTTTCACCCGTATGTGTGCGCATGTGCCTACCCATGTTCTTCTTTTCCGAAAAACTCTTGAGACAAATGGCGCATTCGTACTGTCTGTCGTCTATGTGTATTCCGCCGTAGAGCTCGCTGATGTACTCAAAACCCTTCTCACCTCTATGTACTTTCAAGTGCCTGATGCAATCTCCTTTTCTCGAAAACTTCTTCCCACACAAAGAGCATTCGAACGGTCTCTCGCCCGTATGCTTCCTCATGTGAAAAACTAACGTTGTTCTCTGCGCGAAGCTCATTTTGCACACAGAACATTTGAATGGTCTCTCGCCGGTATGAATTCGTACATGTCTGTTCAATGTTTCTGCTCTCGCGAAGTTCTTTTTGCAAATGCTACATTTGAACGGTCTTTCTTCGGCATGAGACCAATAGTGATCAATGAGATTTTGCCGTCCTGCAAAATTGTATTTGCAGATGTAGCATTGGAACGACTTCGTGTGGGTGCGCATGTGCCTCATCAGAATGCCCTTTCCTAAGAAATGCTTCTGGCACGTAGGACATTGGAGTGAACTATCACCTAGAGATGGAGACCCGGTTCTTTCATCTGTAAACAGAGGATGAGCTCAAACTTTAAACTACAAAAAGTGTTCTGAAGTGAAATGGAAAATATAATGAGAAAAACAGAAGCGCCCTGTAGAGTTGCCAAGTGGAGTAATGACGAGTTAGAATATCACGTGATTAGATATTAGAATAGTTATACAGTGTAGCATTATTTGAGACAAGTAGGTCTCTAAGATCAATTCTTCGTAAGGGCTAACTCAATTGGTCAGCTCAATCTCAGAAAGAGAAGCTTGTCACAATAAATCCTGCAATTCTCAAAGGTGCCATGGCCCAATATAGCCATTTTCTGAGAAACCATGATTTAATGGAATTATTTCAGAAATTTTTGTATACGCGGCAATGAAATATCTTGTGTTGTCAGTAAAAATGAACACTTGCTGCAGCGCCCAATGATATTTTACAGTGTTAAGGATTGCGTTACTGTTACAGATTACTGCATGTTCTTTATGGAAATGACTTCCATGTAATTTGTTAAATTTGTTCTGCAAATATTACTGTCAGAAAATATAAAAAAATATTATTTTGAAAATGCTTCAAAGAATAGAGAGAAATCTGGTTGGACTGTATTTGGTAGGATAATGAAAATGTTAATTAAGTACGTGGCTGAAAGCCCAATATAACAATCATTCTATGAAGAAATTAAATAAAACACATCAGACAATTAAAGAATAGACCATTATATTTAGTTCTTCCCCTCATGTACTGAGTAGGGACACAATTCAAAAATTTAACCTGCTCCCCACACTTTCTTTGCGGGGGCTACGCAATCTGTACTAAACATTAAGCGTGTAGCTCTTTATATTGTTGGCAACAGGGGTCATTTTGACATTGGTCATTTTCCGAGAATCACAGAAAATAGTCATCATAAGACTAGAATTGTCAATAAGTTCTAGATAGGAAAAGACAATTTGGGGAGGTGTTTATGCAGAATATACAACATGGACCATGATAATATGAGTATTTGAAAGAATGTAAATATTGGGTTTTCTACACATAGAACCATGTTTGGCGATGTTCCGTGGAATTTGATGCTGAGGCAAGAGAGTAAGATTTTTATGAATTTTAAAAAGAAATATTATTTTTAAAAACACAAATAGATTTCCAACCGAATGTTATGAAATTACCCGTATATTTCAAATTACTTCCATTCTCACCATATTTTTGGTGCAAGTGTTTAACCATTAAAAAAGCGGTGCACAGCATGTCTTCAAACAAAAATCATGATGATCTAATACAACTAACCTGTGATATACTCATCTCCTTCCTGCATTGATGAATGTGGCAAATTCTCTTCACCTTGGGCAAGAGGATCCTGTAAAATAAGGAGGTATGCACTCAGTAACACTAAATCACAGGGATACTTCTACACAAAGAAAAGTAATAGTTAAAATGAGATATAAAAAAAACTTATGGAGATTATTAAGGGTAAGAGAGAAAAATTACAATGAAGCTTCACAACACCCAAATTGAACAAGTTCACAAATATTTGTTTTAGGTTGCATCATCGGCAATATTTCTACTCCTATTTTGACCACCACAGCAGTCACTGTTTCCAATGAGATGTTTGCGTCAGTATGATGTTTTAGAAATTCATTCAGTCATGAAGCTATCTCTTGAGAACCATAAGATGCAATGAACATGTCCCGTATAAATATTTCAGCCTTGTCAGTAGCTAAGTCACACAAAAATATTCTCTATGTTCTTCCATACCATCACATCTTGTCACATTTGTCATCTTTAAATTAACCAAAGAGCAATTTTGACCAAGTAGTTCAAAAATGCATACAGAGATGCCTCCACCAGTTGGGTGTTCACTTACATTTTCCCTAAGCTCTCTGACCCATGTACAGCATATATACTGCAAGAACTCAGTTTCTTTAAATCTGTTACTTGTACCACTTTTTTCCTGAATGCCTCACTTAATGTCAATATTCTAGTAACTGGAAATTGTAAGAATTTCTGCAAATGAATTTTACAAATAAAAAAAGCCTCTCAGGTTGCTTCTTCAAAATTACAGTTATCTTGTTTATTTGGGAAAAAGAAGTAATTGTTACTATTAACTCTTCATAGACAAGACCATCTTTAATAGTATTTCATATTTTCAAAGCATTAAAGAAAAAGCCAGCAACTTCAAGTTACGATTCAAAGCTTTTAATTAGCAAATGGATGGGAAAAATACCTCACTGTAAGCTACATGCCACTAGCGCTTCTATTTTCCCAGTTCCCAGTGAACTGGTAAAAACTTGGAGATTCCTACCATGAGAAGTGTATTTCAGTTATTCTTCTCACCTCTGTGATCTCCTCTATTTGTATCTCCAATGGTTCATCTTTCACCTGAAGAAACAAAGTAGCTGAAGGGTCCAGTTCTTCCTGCTCAAAATGAAACAAAAATTCTCACAAATACAGAAGTACAAAAATTGGAATGTATTATAAGACAAGACTAGTGTTTGAAAATGTTATTCAAGTTTCTCAAGTTTCAACTACCAACTCTTTAAAAAATTGAAATGTAACAAAAGAAGAAGAAAAAAAATCATTTTGATAAAAATACTGAATTTCAAAGCAAGCAAGGAAAGAATGATAACAAAAGAAAAAATTATATTCTGTCTATTCCAATTCTCTTATTTCTTTAGGATCTCCATGACTACTGTAACCCATAATTCAGGGGGGAAAATAGAGAAAAAACAGCCAGTGCCTCAAGCTGAATTCCTTCATTACGCTCCATGAAGTCACAGAGGTTAATTGACTCAATACCCCATAGTTTCTTGGATGGATGACCATCTGGGAATCCCAGGGATTTAACACCACAGAGCCCCTGGCCAAAGGGACAAGGCAATGACTGAAAATGACTGACTACCTTAAAGGCGTATTTTTCCACAGTTCCGATCAACACTACAGAAGAAGGGCTTACAGAATCAGGTGCTATACAAGTCAGTCATAAAGAACCTGATCAGAACTATTTATTTTCATTAATTATTCCAACAAAAAAATTATTATATTATCAAAATATACTGAAATGCCTTTTTTTCCCCCTCAACTGGCATCATTTTTGATATTGTCAATTGAAATGTGGTCTGAAGATAGTTGTATAACTAAAACAAATATTAAACTTTCTTCAAATTGGATGAACAATAATCTTAACTAGAAGAATGATGCTGATATTGAAATTTTCACGAGGCCAAATACAACAATTGTTATTGAATGAATACGAAAGAGAGATTGCTCTAACTTGGCTGGAAACTGTTGTATACATATCAGTTCAATCCCTTCACAGACAATATAAATATAATATATATGAAGAAACAAAAAACAAACAGTGTGCCTTGACTCTAAAATAAGAATTACTGTCTTGTGGTGAGCAAGTTCTGGCTCATTAAAGATAGTGCTTCGCTATTGCTTTTACTATTGGAATCTAAATCTCCTAATGTTCCTTAGAACAAAAAATATAATTGTTATACTTTCCTCACCTCATTGTCATCAGAATCCTCCTTCACCTCAAGAAACAAAGTGGCTTCAGGTACAAGCTCCTCCTACACAAAACAAAAAATTCTCTCAAAATAAAAAATACAACCAGCTATTTCCACATGCTGCATTCTGTGGCAGTATAATTTATTGAGAGCAATATAGGTGTTCAAAACAAATTGTCAGAAGCCAATCATTCGGCTCCAGTTGTAAAGAAATAATTTATACACATTCATCTACCAATCACTTCAAAAGTCTATTTTAGGAAAGGAGAAAGAAAAAAGCAATTCAATGAGCCAAATAAATAATTTAACTAACAGTGGTGTTTGTTTGTTGTTGTTTTTGTTTATTTGTTTGTTTTTGTTTCTGTTTTTCTTCTTCACTAGCATTTAGTTTCTATCAATCATTTTTTTAATACCTTAACTGAGAATTATTACTCAGAAATATGAAAGATCAGAAAATAAAAGGGAAGACAAAAGTTAAATAAGTGACTAGTTCACCTTTTTTGGATTTCTTTCTTGTTTTACTTCTTTGGAGTTTTGGACATCCGCAATCTAAAAATTATAAAACATGTCAATATACTTTAGACTTATAAAAAACATCAAGTAAAAACTAAGGGGTTAATTGTAACAATTACTTCTTTTTCCATATACACAATACAATTGTAATTTTGAAGAAGCTGTCTGAGAGTTTTTTTTTAATTTGTAACATTCATTTGAAGAAATTCTTATAATTTTCAGTAATTTGAATATTGCCACATAAACGAGATCTGGAGAACATTATACCTGCAATGTTAACTTCAAGGAACATTTTCTTCCAAACTATGTACCTTAGAGAATTGATTCTTTTACTGTAGTTTCTTGGCTCTATTTTAAATGTTTTATCATTGGGGTTTTAAAAAACTGTAATTTTTGTAGTTGAAATGAATTTTTAAAAGTGTAAAATATTTACAACCACATTTTTTATTATTACAATATATATAATTTGTTTAAATAACAAGATATAATAAAAAGGCTAAGATAAAAGTTGTAGTTTGACTTGATGAAAAATGCCTAAAAATTTGAAGTCAGTAGCTCTAATGGTTTAGGAAATATTGTTTCTTATATACACACATAAAAAAAAATTTAAAAAAAAAAAAACTTACGGGAATCAGGCTTCAAATTTTGCCATGTATTTCCAGTACATTCCAAGTCCGTATGATGAATTTTCATATTCATTTGACATTTACTTAGTTTCTTTTTAACTGATGTCATAATGTGACTGTCTCATTTCTTCGTTTCACTCCCCTAATTTCCTCCTCTAGTTTCCTTATTTCTCTCTTTGTAAAGTAAAAAACCGAGATAATTCCACAAAAGCAACCATGCATAGCAAGGTTGATGCACAGCATATTATTTAATTTTTTTAAAAATACTTTAAAAAAATAAAAGTGAATACATAATTGAAAAGGGGGAAATTGAAGATTAATAATTCACTAAAAAGTGAAAATCAATTATTTTTTTTTAAATGAGGCACTCAGTAAAAAAGTGGTTCAAGATACAGAATTATAGAAACTGAGTTGTTGCAGTATATATGCTCTACATGGGTCAGAGAGCTAAGGGAAACTGTGATAAGTGTATACCCAACTGTAACAAATGGCTTTTTGAACTCATACGTGTTTATAAAAATTTAGAAGTTCTCTGTAGTATTTTATTAAACAAGATTTCGAAATGACAGAAACAACAGGACTTGACAGCTTAGAACTGCACCTCTGGCTTTGAATTATAAAATCATTAAGTCAATACATTCTTGAATATGCTTTTACTCATTATTTTTAACATTAAAATACAGTTTTGTTACACTGTTGATACTTCCCGGATACATTACATCAGCCCTAAATCATGAAATTTTGGCAATAATGAAGGAAGGGAAGCTTCTGGCATTATCAGTGTAGCTGTCTATTTATGTATTTCGTCAAATTTTTGAAAATTGAAAGAATGCCTTTAATGCTTCCATGCTTTAAAAACAAATGTTCATAACATCAAATATCAGTAAGAGTAGTGAGAAGTGAATTAAAAATGAACTTTGAAATAACTTATAGGTGTGATTGCATTAAATATTAACAAGTACACCACATAATTCATATTTGAAGTATTATTTTCATTTTGAATAGACAAGCAATATATAACACATCTTCTACAAAAGTTTCATCTGACAGATTTGCATCTTTTCAATGCTAAAAGTGATGGAAAAATTAACACTGTATGAAACTTTAAAATATAGAATGAAACAAATAGAAAAAGATGAATAATATTTATCTTTGGGGTAAATTTTACAAGAGTAAATTTTCATAGTAAACCTTAATGGTAAATTTTGCAAAGAAAAATTTTAACATTTTTTTATCTCTATTCATTCTGTATTAAATATTTATGTTTTGTACTTCAATAATTTCTTTTATCATTTTGAAGCAAAAGGTATGCAAATCGGGCAAATGAAACATTGTTTTATATTTTTTGTTTCATTTGCCCAAAACCAAAAATAAAACTTCAAATAATTTTAAAAATTAAAAAATTAAATTTCTTCCATTGTCAAATTATTCAAGATCAAAAAAAGAAGCAGTAGTGTTCATTTGAAGACCATAAAATTATAATTTTAAAAAAATTGAACATTGTATCACAACAAGTAATTCCTTGATTTATACCAATATACAAAATATGGAATAATTAAGATACACCATTTTATGGTATGAATGAGTGATTTAATTTTAATATAATGCACTAAAATAATTTTCCATTTTAATGCAATCCACCTCTTTGTTCATAAACTAATTAATACATGTAGCTGCAGAGCACCCAGAGAAAACTAGGGGCCTGGGGCAGTTGATCCAAGGGGACCCCCTTATTTCAAACAAAAAAATTCATCATCCTCCAGCTCATATACAGATTTCATTTCTTCATGCATCAGAAAAAACATAGTGTTAAAAAAATTTGGGTTAAAGATAAATATATTTTTCATTTCATTTCAATGAAAAAAGTTCGGGGCCTCAATTAAATTGAGGCCTGGGGCAAGTTCCTTCAGCTGCTCCCCCTTCTGGATGCTCCTGAGCAGCATTATGTCTTAGAATGACAGAAACTTACATTGTCATTCCAAATACATTTTTCATCATCTTCTTCCACCTTAACCTATGGACATATAAAACATGGGCAGCTTAATATGGGTAGAGAGCAATCAGGTAAAGAAGTTAATAGCTAACAAAGTATTTGTTTATTTTAAAAAGTATTGGTGTTTTGAGTTTGGAGAAAAGCTAAAACTAGAGTCATAAAAAACATTTATCTGGTACTGTATAATATTTACATATATACTATAATACTAAATACAAATTTAAATGAATACTGTACTTTCTGTAACGCACAATATAGACTTTGCATGAAAAATTGATTCGCTAGATGGAGCACTTTTCTTGAATTAGTGTTTTATTGAATTTACAGGTGATAAAGTGAGAAGTGTCTTTCATTGGTAATACGTACCTCTACAACATTAATTATACTTTCACCAAACAACTCAATGTCATCCATTGTTTTGATACTATGTCAGAATTACTGAGATATGAGGAATTATTTATTCCTTAGGTTTTGAGGTCTGTATTAAAAATATATCCAACTAACACAATTCGACACTGTTTACTGAGTTGCTATAGTAACAAATTTATGGTTGTCGCCACGTAAAGGTAGATGGAACATAATTATATATCTTTTGTTTATTTAATCTATACATTTTTTTAAATCCCAATATTTAAACTTCAAAGCTAGGTTGCGGCATTTTGAAGACTAACCAAGACCAGCATTCAAAATATCCATTCGCGCCATCTCTTTTGATCAGCATACTCTTTGAACGTTATGAACAGGATAGCCAACATGTGAAATATAAGTATCATTCAGTTTCGCTTGTGGCGCTAATATCGCGTGGTTGATATTCTGAATGTTAATCCTTCTCTGTGACCAGTCGTGTAAATCTTATATTTCTTCTTTGGCGCAAGTCTCCATCTGGTCTCCATTGCATGCTGAACAGAACGTGAAATCGTAAGTTAATTTTATCCGTTTTCATCTGTACTGTGCAGTGAGTTTTTGCATTCAGTATTTTTTAAATCTGTGCTCTCTAATTTTTTGTAATGGATTATTTGTGATATTTTACAGCCAGCGTGATAATTTAAATGTATTTACAACGTAGATATTTGGTTAAAACTAGCACGTTCCGTTTTAAGTTTTGGTATTGCTTTAACGTGGTAGTAAATTTTTATAGTATTTGTTGGGATATTATAGCAAAGTTTCATTGGAATTTCATTTTCAGAAAATGACGATTCGCCCAGTTTATCGTCCAACAATCCTGAAAAAGCGTACAAAACACTTTGTACGCCATCAAAGCGATCGGTACAAGAAGCTGAAGGTTCGTAATTTTTATATTGTGTTCTGCAATGATATTAGGAAATATCGGAAAATTTTACCTATTGTGAAAGACGTACTTGTTACCTGCTTTGTTAATTCAATAGGAAATTCGTTAGCTTGGCAAATTTGAAGCGCTTTGCTCATGTTAGGTTAACTGAAGAAAAACTTAAGTTTTTGTGTGGAATCAGAGTTGTCTCATGAGAGACGTAGGCAATAAATGTTCTAAAATGTTTGCAATTAAGCTAGTTCTACAAAACTTTTAAAAGGACGTTATTTTTAATATTTGACATTGATAATTTTGAAGTAAACTAAATTATAAATAAAAAAAGTGTTCCTGGGTGAGAAAAAATCCAAATGCATTTTTTTAAAATAATTTTTCATAAAGTAGAAAATTGAGAAATTTGATTGTTAATGTTCAATAAATTAATGTAGTGATTAAAAATCAATTTAATTGGCGTTAATATTGTAGTTTATTAAATGTTTAAACTACGTTGTTGAAACGCAAGTAATCTAAAAGCAACAAATTTGATGCCGTTGCTGCTGCAACACCTTTAATTTATTTTCTGCAGAGGCCATGATTGATTTGAAGCACTGCTCTTGCCACAGTATCTTCAAATGGATTGGAAACATTAGATAAAAGTTTACTCATTTTTGTGACCCTTTGTCGCAACATGCTTCATATCCTTTAATGTCTGGATGTACAGTGCATTCTTTTCTATTAAGCATCTTCGTAAGGTTTTTTGCGGCAAGTAACTGATTTGCTAGTAAGGTGACCTCAGTAAAGAGTGAGAACCTTTTATTCTGAAATTCATTGTCAAAGCTGTTCAACTTCAGTTACTTTAAAATCTTTCAAAGAGAACCAAGTAATAAACAAACTGAGTGTCATGAAGCCGCCATTGGACTCTGCGTACAAAGACATTATAGCTGTTCTATTAGTTTTCTCACAATGACTTGTGACAGTAGCTTGTAGTATCCCTTCTGAGTGAAATAAAATATATCTGAAGCATGTCGTATGGATTGTCTGCATCTGTGTACTTCAGGTTATTTCAGAAAGTAGTGTCCGTTTTATCTTGGTGAAGCCAACATTTTTAAAATGGGTAGCACTCAGTTTGTTAACCAAAGAAACTTTTTCAATTCCCAAAATTTGCAATGCCATAGTGTTTCTTTGTTCTGTTTACATAACCTATACATTATGCATCATGTCTTTATTGCTGAGAATTCTAGTATGAGCTTTAAGGAAACGTCTAACTTGTGAATCTTATAAGGAAATTACTTATTTCAATGTTATTTCTAAAGAAATTTGAGGCTCAAAAGGGCAGAAATGTTACTGTAGTCGCAATTTAATGAAGAAACCAATGTATTTGAACCAGAGTTGTGCCGAAGACAACAATTTTACATTACATGTTTTTTCTACACGTAATCTACATGACTTTGTGTAGACTACGTAGACATTGTAATCTGTGTACAGTACTATTTACCTTTTCACATTGTGTAACCCACAAAAAAAGTTATAATAGGTAAAAATAGAAGCATGTTGAAATGTACTAGAAATTTTATTTCTAATTCAATAAGTCAAAGAAAATGTTCCATACTCCTGATGAAGAAATGACAACCTTCGTAACCATCTCATGAAATCAGTAGGAACATGTTTCAAACTGACACATCAGACCACTCTGCATCTGACATCTGGATGGGATTTAATCAATATGTAGTATTGCTTTGAATTAATTGGGTTAAGTAATTGTACCTGTTTTATTAATATTTAATTATTACATATATGTTGGCTATGAGTGTGGAGCCTGGCCCTCATCCACGAAAGAGATATTTACCTTCGTCTTCGCAGGATACGTTGTTTACGTGTAGACGTAGACTTTGGTTCTTTACGCATTGACACACATCACTGATAATAGCCATCATAATTTTTTTTTGTTGAGTATTGGTTATTGATTTATTTCCTATCTTTTTCTGTGCAGCCAAACTGGAGGAAACCGAAAGGTATTGACAACAGAGTTCGCAGGCGATTCAAGGGCCAAAGGTTGATGCCAACCATTGGTTATGGAAGCAACAAGAAAACCAAGCATATGCTTCCTACTGGCTTCAGAAAAGTATTGGTTCATAATGTTAAGGTAAATACTACAGTTATAATTTGTAGTAATTGTTTATTAGCTATTACCCTAGGGTCATTTTGGAATTTGTTGCTAAATTATCTAAACAAACTAAATTTCTCTTTTTGTTACATTATGAAGCATGTTCAGAAAATTATTTTTATTAATGAGATTAATATTATATGTATAAGATACAATACAGATATTTCACATTTTTAAGTGGAGTATGGAGTGAAGCACCTTGTTTTTAGCTGTAAAATAAACAGCTCTGCTCATATTAAAATCCTTCTATGTTATAAATGATCTAGGTATAGCACTTCTTACGCTATGTCGATGTGTATTTTTTGCTCAGTTTTTCTCATCTTATTTTGTTTTCTAGGAATTGGAAGTGTTGATGATGCAGAATCGCAAATACTGTGCTGAAATTGCCCATGCAGTATCGTCAAAGAAGCGTAAGGCAATTGTAGAGAGAGCGCAACAGCTCTCTATCAGGATCACCAATGCTAATGCAAGATTACGCAGTGAAGAAAATGAGTAAATTATCTGTCCTGTGTTATATATTAAAATAATAAAAGATTAATATGGCTTTTTATTTCAATTTCTTAAATATCCTTGATTCAATTCATTGAGTCTGTTTAAATAATTAGGTTTCAGTGGTGGAAATGTAATTTGAGTGGAAAACTCTTAATATACTACTAGTTTTTGCCCTTTATTGGCTGATACTATTATTCATTAGCAGAATTAATTTTTGAAAAGTTGGTATACATTTAGTTTTTAGCTTGGGAACAATTTCTGACATCAGTGTAATATAATGATTATGACTACAAAATTGCCCAACTTTTCATGGTTGGAGAAACGGGTAGCAAGTTCCAATACAAAAAAAATTCTTGATAAACTGCTCCATTCAATAATGACCTATTCTCAAGTTCTGTGAAAAGAAAATACATTTTTACATGGCAGAGGTCATTTGTAAGTTTCTGTGTGTTACCGTTCGTAAGTTTCAAGCATGAAATATTCAGCACCTTTTTTTGTGTGTGTGGATAAGGTTGCTATTGCATTCATAGTCAGTCACTTGAGAATCTCAATTGTAAAACACATTTTCTTCAGAATTTTAATCATTAGACTTACCAAAAAATCTATTAATGGACAAGATTTCTTTAGTCTTACAACCAAAGACATGTAATTGGCATTCTAATACGTTTTACAGCACTGATGCATTAAGTTGGTGAAATGAATATCCATTTATGTGCCTTATTAAATGCAAATGGATTTATTTAATAGTATAGAGAAGGAAAAAAACTTCCAAAAACTGTTTTGTATAAGTAGTGAAGTGGCGTGTGTTGTATAGGTCCTACAATAGACCACTGTTGCTAGCTGGCTACAAATATGATTGGGACTTGTTGCCATTATCCTGAAGTATGGCCTTTAAGCAAACTTCAGAAGAATCTATGAACATGTTCTATTGTCGGGATATGTTCATTTTCAAGTGTCTCCATAAGAGATGAATATCATTACAAAACAAAGCCATTTTCTTTGAAAAATTGTCTGTAAATTCAAAATGACAATTACGATAAGTACATATCTTGGTTTTCTTTTGAAGATTCCATTCTTTTAGCCAGTAACCATGCATTTCAGAGAGATCTTGAGTCAGTAAATTTTCAGATGAACAGTTCAAAATATTTTTCACCATAGGAATGTTTCATTTGTTTCCTTCTATCAGAATTGAACTTTCTACGTCTAATGTAACATTCCGTGGAGGCTTTAATATACGTAATTCTTCGCAGTGCAGAATTGGTCTCATCGCAGATTGCAAGTTACAGTAGGCCTCTGTACGTTTTGATCTTGATGTAATTCATTTGATGTTTGTTAAGCAGAAATAGTCAGATGAATGTCTTGAGTTGCCTCCAAATCATAGGGATAATAAATGATGTAGGGGATGTCTTCCCATGCAGGAGAATCCTAGAACGTGATAAACAGATGGCCCATTCTGTTTGGTCCTCCGCTTTTACTCCTAAAATAAACGAGTTCATAACACTTTTTCACTAATCAAGTAAGGTTTCATCTTTGGGATTTGAGCATCGCATACATAATAAAAATTGTTACGATTTAAACAAAATTTAGGCATTTTGAAACCATGAACTAAAATAAATATGAAATACACAATAATTAAGGCCAACAAGCACTCACAATGTATTCTTTGGTTCACAACTGCCATAGTTCTGATACGCGTGTGCTTCTCTAGATCAAGTTAGCACATATCTACATGTGAGAACCTGCAAAACAGTAGCAACGCTCCCATTTGAGATGGTTCATTTGGTTATATATTTACAATAGGAAAAGGGTAACAAAAAACTTAAGAGATATTTAAAAGAATTGAAATAAGAAAAAAAAACTGTGGGTGATGGAGAAATTCCAAATATATACTTGAAAACAAGAAGAAAAAACTGCATGAAGTACCTGCTTGTTCTTGAGACAAAAATCATGTTGACCAGTGTTATTCGTGGAAATACTAAAACTATTTGGGATAAAATT